AATTACATATCTGCCATCATGCAAGAGGGTCCGAATAAGTGTCCGAGTGTTTTGGCCATTTGAATGTTGAATTTGTAGTTCAAGATTGAATTAGTATGATGATTCAAAGTAGTTTGCAAAATCAACAAAGTTGTGTTTTCCAAACATTCCAACTTGTGTGTTGAATTAATTTGGTGATTCAGATCAAAGTAGTTCCCAAATCAATGAAATTGTTTTCCAAACATTCTAACTTGTAAAAGAATCTTCCAAGGAATGTTCAAACTACTATACAACAAAAGCCAAGACAATTCTTTTCGTGTTCACATCTGTTAACTACTACTTTCCAAGGAATGTTCAAATTATATAACAAAAGCTATGTCAAATCTTTCCTATGCTTTGGGTCTTTTGCATATATCTAAAGAGTTATCAAGATTAAAATTGCAGATTTGCTTTGTTCAATCTGATGCCAAACAAGAAAAACTCACAGCTAAAAACTCATCATTTAGGCTTATAAATTTAGATTTTTTAGTAAGTATATGGACACAACCATATAAAAATATGGGTTCCACACTCTAATAATATGCATAGCAAGATTATGTTGTTTTTCATTGTTTTAGTTGTTCATTTTTCCACTATTTTCTCTAGTATTTTAAATTTGAAATTAACTCAAATTTTTATTTTTTCTTAATGTTGCTTTAGAAATTCACTATTTTGAGTTTTCTCTAGTATTTCCACTATTTTGAAATTAACTCATTTCTTGTGACTCTTGAAATGGGTGAATTGTGTGGTGAATTTATGAATCTAAATGACGTGAGTTTTTTGATTCCACGTATCTTTAGGAAGAAATAGTTGTGGATGTAGTGGTGGGTGTCCAAACAATTATCATGTAGAGCATTTTTAATGGAGTAGTTAAAATTGTGGTTAATTAATAAAAAAATAATAAAAGTAAAACTCAATTTTGTGTGTTAAGAGCATCTGTAACATTTATTCTTTTTTGTTTTCATCAAATTTGTGTAAAAAATTCATTTGATATCGAGCGTTCTAATAAAAAAAATTCTTTTTCGTCAAACTACTAGTCAATCGGGAGGATGTTTGGCCCGTGGACTGGTTAGTGTAAATTTACGGAAACTCTTAAGCTAGTTGTCCAGTATATGATTCTAACGGCTATCACTTGTGGTGAAAAATGTTATGAACCATTTTGATAAGAAAAATTGTGGCATATTGTGATGTATATTACTAATGTTCTGAACCATTATGGTTGGTTTGTTTCCCAAGAAAATTCGGTAATTTACTTTTGTGATTGTTATTTGGTCTTTCATATTTGATGGTGCCGATGTGAGAAAAGATAAGTGGTTAGAAAAAAAAAATATTTTCTTTTTTGCTAATAGTTGAAGCTGTTATGCTCATTACATGCTATAGAGCACATCTCTGCATTTTATTTTCTTTGTCTATGTGCATGCGGGTGCATATGTACTGTTATGATGCCTTCTGTTAGTTTGATACCAAAATGTTTTCTCTTAATAAAATAGACACTGTTTCTTTGTTGTCTTAATTTTTTTGGTGAAACTACTGAGGGGGGGAAAAAGACAATAGAAGTGTTAATGTGAAACTAGTCATTGCTACTTAACTATGAACCAGTGATTTGGGAATATGGCATCATTTATGTGCAGCTGCTTACTTATATATGTCACTTGTTCTTGAAATGCAGAAAAGAGCAAGATATTCATGTAGCCTCTCAGCTTTTTATGCTTATGGACTCCAACAAACCCACATCAAGATCTGTGCCACAGGTGGTTGTGGTGGCATCTACTGATAGGTTAGTATTGCACTCCCATTGTCTTTAAGACCATCTGTTTCTTGGATATTTCAATAACATTTTATTATAAGTTTTATTTTTTATGTTCATGTGTCTCATGCATTATGCAAATACATGTTAACCTTGCATTCATGCTGCTGTCGTCAACGCCTCCCACCACTATTACGACCTTCTCTATCTGCCAAACCTCCCACCACCGGTCTTTCTCTCTACAAAAATTCACCTCCAAACTTTTCCAGGTAACATAGAACCCACCTCCAAACTTTTGCAGTGCAACAAAAAAACATTGTGTTTTGTTTCTTTCAATGGAAAATTTATATTTGAATATCCTCATGGCCTCTTCAACTTATCCTTACCCCTTATCCCCTGGTGGTTGCATGCATGCACTCATCCATAGTAAAAAGAGAGACATACATGTTTCATAGTTTTATATATGTAACTGAAATTTAATAAGAAGGAAACTCAAAGCAACTGAAAACACTAACGGATTGTAAAGGGATAGACATAACAAGGGAAGAAACCAATTTTTTGTTTTACTTATTTTCTCTTTATTGAAGGCTGTGAAGTAAATATTGTATATAACCTTTTGGTGTCCTGTTCTTCTGAGGTAGCGTATCTTTCATCTTTGTTGGAGTTACCAATCCAATTTAGAGACAAAAACCATAGCTAATTCCTTCAATATTTTCAAATTGAGCACTGTCATTTTTGGATCTTATTGCTTTGCGTCATTTATCAGATCCTTAGAATTTTTGCTTTAAATTTAACATATATTATGAGGTTTATTCTTGCCTTCTGGTTTACACGTACAAAGAGCGGATGCAACTGACCCTGCACTAAGAAGGTCAGGGCGTTTTGACACTGAGATTGAAGTTACAACCCCTAATGAAGATGAACGATTTTAAATACTTAAGGTAAATTGAATTTTCAAGAGTTTTTGTGTGGAAATTGTTCTGTAGCACCCTTCACCTTTGGATAACTGTTACTGTTACTCAGCCCAACGTTGAATTTATGAAGGCAATAATGCTCTTTTCTTATAACATTTTGCAGCTCTATACAAAGAAGTTTCCTTTGGATCCCAGCGTTGACTTGCAATCCATAGCTGCTTCTTGCAATGGCTATGTTGGGGCTGATTTAGAAGCTTTGCGTCGCGAGGCTGCCATGTCTGTAGTAAGAAAATCTTCAGATGCAAATGAGGAAGCTGGTATGCGTAGCTTAACAATGGATGACTGGAAGCATGCAAGATCTGTCGTTGGTCCAAGCATAACAAGGGGTGTTACTGTGGAAATTCCCAAGGTTTCTTGGGAGGATATTGGAGGATTAAAAAATTTAAAGGTTTGTGAACATTACACAATCAGTTGAGGCTGAAACTCTTACTGACCCCTGACAGTGTCTCTATATGTGGTACAGAAAAAGCTCCAGCAAGCTGTTAAGTGGCCTTTAAAACATTCTGCTGCATTTTCAAGGCTTGGAGTATCACCTGTTTGTGGGATTCTTCTTCACGGACCTCCAGGGTGCTCAAAAACCACCCTTGCCCAAGCTTCTTTTTTTTCCTTGAGGTTTGATCATCTTTCATTAATTTCAGCAAGATAAGGTTAAGGGCATAAAAATTTAACATAATTATAAATTTTAAGATGCGTTGTGAAAACCTTGTGGGTAGTTCAAAGGATGGATACTGTTGTATTGTATGTTACTTCACTTAAAATTGGAGCCAAACTTTTATCAAAGTCATAAAAGCTCTGGCTGAAAACTTCTTCAAAACTACTTGTAACAAGTGGAATAGTCATCTCAAATGGGGAGTGGAATATTAGGTTATAAAAATTTAACCTTGTTAAGGAAAATAGGGCAAAGATGAAGAAGTTTTTTTTGGATATCTTGGGATTAGGTAGGATTTGTTAAATAATCATGTTTTGCCTGGATAGAAGCCATTCAGGAATGTTTCTAGTCGATATTGCCAGATTGCTTTTAGGCGGTGGTATCTTTTCTCTCAGAACCTACTGAATAAAATTAATAATTGAGACAAGTTTCAGCGTTAAACTAGTAGTTTTGAAGACTTTGTGTACTGAATTTTTAATGAAAATTTTAGGTTATTTTTTTCTTTCATCAGCAAAAAAAAAAAATGAGATCAAATTTGTCCATTAAAATGAAGAATAAAAGTCACAGTCCATTGCATGCCTTGAAAAGCGGCTCTTTGATTAAAATTTTGTACAGTTGCATGTCTTGAAAATTCATGAATGATGAATCAGTGGTGCAGAATTATATTCAATGTATGTTGGAGAAGGTGAAGCTTTGTTGCATAATACGTTCCAGAGGGCTCGCCTTGCGGCACCAAGCATAATTTTCTTTGATGAGGCAGATGTTGTTGCTGCCAAACGGTTAGTGTTCTATTTTCATTTGGTTTAGTCCTTCATTTTGTCAATTAAAACTTAATGTGACTCATCTGTTACATATAATTGTAGCCTCCCTTTTATTTCTCTTGTCAGGTTCATGAAAATGTAGCAGCAAGAACAAAAATTTTCTTCTTATTTTTTTGACAAGGTATGAGTATGTACATATGATTGTATAATTAAATATATGTATGCTTGTCCTTCTGAGTCACAGTACAGTTGATAAATGAATAGAAAGAGGAATGCACTTCCAAGATCACGCATCTTTGTTCTCTACATTGAGGCTTGTCTTCCCCACCACCTTGAAATAATGATTTTGTTTCATTATGGTTCTACTTTTTTGCTTTGTTTTGTTCCTTTTCTACCTTTCAATGACAGAGGAGGCAAATCAAGCAGCAACATTGCCGTAGGAGAGAGGCTTCTATCTACCTTGCTAACAGAAATGGATGATTTAGAACAGGCAAAAGTAAGCATTAAACTTCATAAATTATTTTGATAGCTATTAATTTGAATCATCATCATGAGAGAGAAATTAAAGATAAGATTTTAAAAACTTCACTTGATATCTGCTGATTTCTTTCTTAGGGAATTCTTGTTTTAGCAGCTACAAATCGCCCTCTTGCAATTGATGCTGCTCTTATGCGGCATGGACACTTTGATCTGGTAACAATTTTGTCTAAGCACTTGTCCATTGCTCCTTGTTCTTGTGCCTTTTGGATGTCCTTTCTAGCTAGCAGATAAGCAATGCTAGCCCTTGAACACTGAGATTGAAGTTACAACCCCTCATGAAGATGAACGATTTCAAATACTTAAGGTAAATTGAATTTTCAAGAGTTTTTGTTTGGAAATTGTTCTGTAGCACCCCTCACCTTTGGATAACTGTTACTGTTACTCAGCCCAACGTTGAATTTATGGAGTCAAAGGCAATAATGCTCTTTTCTTATAACATTTTGCAGCTCTATACAAAGAAGCTTCCTTTGGATCCCAGCGTTGACTTGCGATCCATAGCTGCATCTTGCAATGGCTATGTTGGGGCTGATTTAGAAGCTTTGTGTCGCGAGGCTGCCATGTCTGCAGTAAGAAAATCTTCAGATGCAAATGAGGAAGCTGGTATGCGTAGCTTAACAATGGATGACTGGAAGCATGCAAGATCTGCCGTTGGTCCAAGCATAACAAGGGGTGTTACTGTGGAAATTCCCAAGGTTTCTTGGGAGGATATTGGAGGATTAAAAAATTTAAAGGTTTGTGAACATTACACAATCAGTTGAGGCTGAAACTCTTACTGACCCCTGACAGTGTCTCTATATGTGGTACAGAAAAAGCTCCAGCAAGCTGTTAAGTGGCCTTTAAAACATTCTGCTGCATTTTCAAGGCTTGGAGTATCACCTGTTTGTGGGATTCTTCTTCACGGACCTCCAGGGTGCTCAAAAACCACCCTTGCC